TTATCACAAATGGACAGTGTAAGCACACCAAAAGGAGTAAAGGGGAAAAAGGACTAACCTAGGTAACTTTGGTCAATAGTGTCTTCACTGAATATTTTAAAGCTTAAGACCAGAAAACTGTATGTAAAGGCTATAATTTAGTTAGTACATGTTTTTCTCAAAGGAGCATGAGTTAGCAGTCCTAAAACTATTTACATTAGGATCAGGCAAATAAGTCGATTGTAGATAATGACATCTGGGTTTCTCACTGTTAGGCAAAGAAGCTATAAATGAAAGAGGAAGGCTAGAATGAACTTTGACTGATAGACTGAAATTAGTGACACCATTATAAACACCCAGTATCAATTATATATATACACACAGAGAGAGATACAGAAATATAGATGTGTGTATATAACTGGGTTAGTCTACATACATGTATTCCCCAGTTCTGTCGACCGAGAGCACCTCATTCCAGTAGCAATAAGCATGCCTGGCACCCAGATTTTGGTTTCTAAACACCTTTCTCCAATAGAAGGAACCAGAGCTTCCTGAGGAAGTCATCAATTCTAGGCCTGTAGCAGGGAAAATACAAGATGAGTCTAGAATCTTTTTGATGCTAGAAAGTTAATGAAGTGTTCAAAAAAGATGGGTCTCCTTAGAGGGACACAAGAGCCAAACTGAAGGAACTCTTAATGGCCAAAGCTGGAACAGCATGAGCAACAAAACTGATAATGATACTACTGGATTATAAATGAAAGAGCAAGATACACCCATGAGTCCATACTGATATACTTAACCAATTGAATAAATACATAAAAAGGCAGAAAAGATGGCTCTTATTTGCAACAGAATTCCAGTGAATAAACGTGGAATAAAAGAGCAAAATAAAAAATCACTACTAAGCATAGTAGTTGCTGTAGTCAAAATCCACTGATGGATACTACAGTTAGTGGGTGTGAGTTTGGGAAGCAGCAGGAAATTTGCATAACCTCAAAGTATCTCTCTGCAAAATGTTTATTAGTCATAAAGTGAAAAATGGTAACTTTATAGTAAGAAACTTGGAAGAGACCACCTTAACCAAGCGATCAAGGTTAACATCACCAATAAGACATGTTGATATTACAAATTCTTTAAAGTGATGCATTGAGAAAGGTAATATAATGCATGTCGCATTTTTGCCAAAATTGAATAACCTTATCCTAATCTTGAGGAAACTTTACATGAACCTAAATTGAGGGATATTCTAACTAAGGAAGAGGTAACTGGGACTCTTCAAAAGTATGAAGGTCATGAAAACAAAGAAAGGCCGAGGAACTGTCACCAATTGGAGGAGACTAAGGGGGCATAGCCACTAAATGTAATGGGAGATCCTGGGTTGGATCCTGAAGTAGAACAAGGGCATTAGTGGAAAAATGGGTGAAACTGCAGCAAGGGCTCCAGTTCAGTGAGCAGTGTTATATTAGTGTTAATTTACTGGTTCCGAACATTGTGTCTTGGTTATATAAGATGTTCTAATTGGGGAAAACTAGGTGAGGGGGATATGGGAACTCTGTGCTATTTCTGAAACTTTTCTGCAAGTCCCAAATTAAATTGGATCAAAATAAAAAGTTAAAAAAAGAAAATAATTCTGCAAGTTTAATTAGTTCACTAGAATCATTTACGTCTCTGTGTGTGCACGTGTGAGTGAAGTATGTCCTCGAATAACTTCTCAGTGAAATAAAATATCGAAGACTGCCATGTTTATATCAGGTATTTTGACAAATACCCTTACTCCATTAATTATATTATATTGTTCTAATAAGCTTAGTTGTTGTTTTGATACTTAGACTGCATTCTAAAGCTCCAAAACTAAAGTTAGGTTTATTTGTAGACATAATAAGCTGTACTTTTTTCCTCCTTGGGGATTTAGGAAATCTGTTTTTTTTTTTTTTTTTTTTTTTTTTTTTTTTTTTTTTTTTTTTTTTTTTTTTTTCGAGACGGAGTTTCGCTCTTGTTACCCAGGCTGGAGTGCAATGGCGCGATCTCGGCTCACCGCAACCTCCGCCTCCTGGGTTCAGGCAATTCTCCTGCCTCAGCCTCCTGAGTAGCTGGGATTACAGGCACGAGCCACCAGGCCCAGCTAATTTTTTGTATTTTTAGTAGAGACGGGGTTTCACCATGTTGACCAGGATGGTCTCGATCTCTCGACCTCGTGATCCACCCGCCTCGGCCTCCCAAAGTGCTGGGATTTTTTTTTTTTTAAATTATACTTTAAGTTCTGGGCAGAATGTGTAGGTTTGTTACACAGGTATACACATGTCATGGCAGTTTGCTGCACCCATCAACCTGTCATCTACACTAGCTATTTCTCCTAATGCTACTCCCTCCCCCCACCAAACCCTCTGACAGGCTTCAGTGTGTGATGTTCACCGCCCTGTGTCTCTGTGTTCTCATCATTCAACTCCTCGGGAAGACCTTCTTGAGGAAAGCACATTGGCAGTGAGAGGCCAAAGTCTGAGCAGGAATCAGCTGGGGACAGAGTGGGACAGTGGCATTTTAGCAGATGGGCTGCCGCTATGAATCTCCAGTAGGAACTTCCAGAGGAACTGCCAGTCTGAGTGAAATGGAAAACACTTTGGCTTGCTCTGGGAAGTAGAAAAAGGCCAGAAGAGCAGGAATTAGGTGGTCTGAGATAAGGCTGAAGAGACAGGCAGGAGTTGGCCACACAGGATCTTGTAGAAGAACTGAGAATGATTCCAAGAAAAGTAGAAACCTCTGAAGGGCTTTGAGCAGAGGAGACACATGACCTGAGAAGTTACTGTCTCCCACTCTCCCTTGGTGACTTTAAACGCTTGTTTATATTATGCTAACCATGGTTCTTTATTTTCCCTGAGGACAAGATATGGGAATGGCCAACAGGGCAGCGTTTGATAAGCCACAGGGATAAACCTCCCTGTGAAATTCTGTCCCTGGAGGGGTCCGAGAAAGAATGACAGTGTATTGGACCTGCCTTGAGGGAGCTGCATAGACCTTCTGAATTCCATTACAAGTTTATCTGAAATGAAATACCAAGATTTCCCTACAAGGTTCACGACATGGTGAGTTCCCCCCCCCCCCTTTGGATGTTTGGTTATTTTACAGCCTGATCTGGCACTGAGCTGAGAGACGAAAATTTTTAAAAGTTCAAAAAATGAAAGCATTGGAACATTAATCTACTTGAGAGTGGCAAAGTCACAGAAGCCTTAGAAAGTCCATGTTGTACAGTAGACATTGCAGATAATCCTTCAGGTAAGAACAGGTAGTATCCAGGTAAGTACATACATCTTCTAAGGTGGTCCTCCCAGCAGTCCTTAGACCTTAGCCCAAAGACCCAGGAGAGGACAGGAATACCCCGAGAAGAGGTAACAAAATACCCATGTCTCTTGGGTCAGAAAAGAGTTCTTATTGTTTGTTCTGCAAATTTTTTTTGAAGTCAAGAATATTACTACCTGCTAATGTCAGCACCCAACAATTTTATTTCTCTCTCTCTTTTTTTTCAGAGACAGGGTCTCATCTTTGCCCAGGCTGGAGTTCAATGGTGTGATCATAGCTCAGTGCGGCCTGGAACTCCTGGGCACAGGGAGTAACTAGGAAAATAGGTGCTTGCCACCACATCTGGCTGGTTTTTAATTTTTTTTAATTTTTAGTATAGACAGGGGTCTCACTATGTTGCCCAGGCTGGTCTCAAACTCCCGGCCTCAAGCGATCCTCCCACCTATGCCTCTGTCTCCCAAAGCGTTAGGATTACAGGTGCGAGCCACAGCACGGAGCCTTCTCCGGTTAAAAACAAAAACAAATTTCTGTCTGCTAGTTGCAGGCTCAATACTTGCACGTCAGTCACCTCTTTCCATTCAGCTTACCTGGGGATATTAAAAGTGAAAATAACTATAATTTCTTATTAATTTAGAAGATAAAATATTTTATGTGTAATAGTTATTATTCAAAATCTTTCCAAGATCTGTGTGCATACTTTTCCTGCCGTTGCAACATTTGAACTTAACTTTTTCTTTAACCACCAAGGACTCCAGTTTCACCGTCAACTTTCTTCCTGCATTCACTCTTATTGTTCAGTTCTGGATTAAAAGAGCAGGGCCTGAATCAAGCGTCTACAAAGTACAGTATTTAGAGAAGCTTTGTTGCTGTTTTTAAAAATAATTTTTTAAAAGAGGGATCCTGGATATCTTTTTAAAAAAATCTTTTTCTCATATACGAGAAATACAGGGGTGAAAAAGTAATCATATTAATGAATCATTCTGGTTTACTGAATTCCAGTTGGTAGAGAGTTTAAACAACCAAACCAAAGGAAGAGCTCTTCAGTTAACTTTTGAACTTTAAAAAATTTAAAAACTTTTAAACGAATTAAAAGTTGTCTTATTTCTGAAAAATCAAAGAGCGCGATCTGTACACGGTCATAATTGCAAAGGAAACCACGGCGTGGCCAGGGCAGGAGAACTTACTTTAGAAGCTGCGTTTTTCCAGTCTTTCTAGATCCCGTTCCTTCGGGGCTTTCGCGGAGTTTGGTTTTTAAAGCGCGGGCCTCGTGGCGCGCGGCTTCCAGGACTGCGGGGCCCAGCGGCCGAGACGCGGAATGCCCAGGGGTCCCTCGGCGCGGCCGCGGCGGCGGTAGCGGGAGCCTGCGACGTGCACACGAGGGGCCCCGCGCGGTTACCCTCCCCGACCGCTAGTCACAGGCTGTGGGCACCCCGCAGAGCGCCCCCCGCCGAACTCCTTCACCACAATCCTCGGGACCGAAAGTGCGGGGCGCGGAGTCCTGCAAACTTGACCCCGAGGCCAGATGCGCGAGGCGGCGGCGACTGTCCCCGCTGCTTCCCGAAGCCCCTGGGCGGTAAACTCCGGCCTCCGCGCACCTCGCCCTCCGCCCGCCGGAAAGCGAAACCCGGCCGGCGGGCGGGAGGGCAGAGCTCGGCCGCGCGCGCAGCCTGGCGGGGCCCCGGCCCGGGGACGTCCCCGACCCGCACCTGGCGGCAGGACCCACCTACCTGCCAGTCCCCACGGCGCCGCCACCAGCAGCAGCAGCGGCGGCAGCAGCAGCGGCCGCAGGGCCGGGCGGCCGGGAGCCCGCATGGGCCGCGGGGCCTGGTCACATTTCGGGGCGCAGCCGACGGCTCCGTCCCACGCCTGCTGAGGACAACCGCGGCAGCGCGGCCTCCCCTCTGCGCCCGGGGCTCCGCGCGCCGCGCTCCTGGCGACCCGAGGCCCAGGGCGGAGGCGCCGCGGCCACGCCCCCCCGGGCTTCCGCGGGAACCGAGGGCGAACGACTAGCGGAGCCCCCACGCGCGCGCTTCCGCCTACCCGGCTGGATGGCAGCGTGAGGGCAGTTCTCGTGGATTTATAGTCCCCAGCCATTCGGCTGTCAGTCCGGAGAGTCTGAGAGTTTCCATCTCTCGGGGTACATGCCCAGACCAACCCGGTCACTCCGCACGTAAAACCTCCCTCTGGTAATGAGCGAGGGGAGGGCATTGCAAAGAGATTCTGGTAGTCAAGCCGGTCTGATGGTCACTTAAAGTTCCATACTGGAAGAAGGGTGAAATGGAGAGTTATTTCTCAATATACTGTTAGGCACTCAGCCGTAGATCTTACAGTCATGCATCATTTGAGATGACAGGATTACCTCCAGAGAAATGCGTCTTAGGCGAATTTGTGTGAATATCTTAGACACACCTATATGGTATAGCCTCTTACACGCCTAGGCTATATGGTATAGGCTGTTGCTCCTAGTCTACAAACTGGTACAGCATGTGACCGTGCTGAATACTGCAGGCAACTGTAACACAATGGCAAATATCTGTGTATCTAAACATATCTAAACATAGAAAACGTACAGTAAAAGTACCGTATGAAAAATTTTAAAAATAGTGCACCTGTATAGGGCACTTTCCATGAATGGAGCTTGCAGGACTGGAAGTTGCTGAGTCCGTGAGTGGTGAGTGAATGTGAAGGCCCAGGACATCACCGTGCACTGCTATAGGATTTATAAGCACTGCAGTACACTTAGGCTATGCTAAATTTATGAAAAAACTTTCTTCAATAATAATAAATTAACCGGCGGGGCACAGTGGCTCAAGCCTGTAATCCCAGCACTTTGGGAGGCCGAGGCGGGTGGATCACGAGGTCAACAAATCGAGACCATCCTGGCCAACATGGTGAAACACCATCTCTACTAAAAATACAAAACATTAGCTGGGCATGGTGGCATGTGCCTGTAATCCCAGCTACTCAGAAGGCTGAGGCAGGAGAATTGCCTGAACCCAGGAGGTGGAGGTTGCAGTGAGCCGAGATCGTGCCATTGCATTCCAGCCTGGGTAACAAGAGCGAAAATCTGTCTCAAAAAAAAAATAAAAATAAAAAATAAAAAATAAAAAATTAACCTTAGCTTACTATGAGTGTTTACTTTCTACTTTTAAATTTTTTTAACTGTTTTTCTTTCTCTCTTTTTTTTTTTTTTTTTTTTTTTTTTGAGGCAGAGTCTTGCTCCGTCACCCAGGCTGGAGAGCAGTGGCTTGATCTCGGCTCACTGCAACCTCTGCCTTCAGGGTTCAAGCGATTCTCCTGCCTCAGCCTCCTGAGTAGCTGGGACTATAAGCGCGTGCTATCACATCCAGCTAATTTTTTTGTATTTTTCATAGAGACAAGGTTTCACAGTGCTGGCCAGGCTGGTCCTGAACTCCTAACCAGGTGATCTGCCCACCTTGGCCTCCCCAAGTGCTGGGATTATAGGCGTGAGCCACTGTGCCTGGCCTAAACTTTTTGACTTGTAATAACATTTAACTTAAAACACAAACACATTGTGCAGCAGTGTGAAAATATTTTTCTTTGTATTATTTCTATGAGCTTTTTCTAATTTTAAATTTTTCACTTATTTATTTTACTTTTTAAACTTTTTTGTTATCAACTAAGGCACAACCACACACACACACATTGGCCTAGGCCTGCACAGGGTCAAGATCATCAGTGTCACTGATGCCACCTCTGCATCCGGTCCTCTTGGAAAGTCTTTCAAGACAACAGGAGCTTTTCAGCTCCACTATAATCTTATGGGACCATCTTTGTATATGCGGTCCGTTGTTGACTGAAAAGTCGTTATTTGATTTCATTCACCTCTCACAGCCTGCAGTTAGGTCCTGGCCCACTTTTCAGATGAGGCAAGGGAAACTTAGAAAGTCCAGCAATCAGCGTGAAGGCCCCCAAACCTGTAAGCAGCCTGTGAGCAGTGGTGTGTGGACTTCCACATAAGGCTGAGTTCTAGTTTCACGCTCTTCTTCATAATCCGAGTGGGGAAGAGTGCAATTAAGAGCTAAGTCTTGAAATACTATATGAAAAATCTGAGAAAGGCTCTCAGCTTTGTACCTTTCTAGGTGGTTCTAAAGGTTGGGCACAGCCAGAAAATAGAGAGATACACCATTTACTTCAGCTGTGTTCCGTCTCTTTTGCCCTTAAATGCCTGTTTTCAAATGCTCCAATAAAGGGTAACGGCACTCAAATTAGAGCAACTATTGTTTTCTTTTTCTTAAAAAGGGGGAGTCTTCAGTATTAACAAAGCATCTTTTTGGTGAGGAGGGAGTAAGGAGATAGGGCATGGGGCAGGGTTTTCTGAGCCTCCTAAATATGCTACTTTCCCCTTCCTAAAAGATTTGAAAACAGAGGAGGAATTCAGGTCAGAGGGCTCCTTAGGCTGGAACATTAGCTTTGTAGTGCCCACGTGAGGCCTCTGCAAACCTCTGTCCTTGTTAGCTGACTCTCCTTTCCACCAAAAGGGGCCGTCAAGGAATCCTGAACACTGGAGGAGGAAAGAAGGAACGTGCTTCCTATTTCTTTGCTGTTCTTGTCCTAGTGCCTCTTTACCCTGGCAGGGACAGCTAGTTCCAGTAGCAATTGTTCCCAGTTTCCAGCTTCTTCCCGTACTCCCAGAATCAGCCTCACTGCATCTCCTGAGAAATACCAGCACTGGGAGGCTCTGCTTCCAGGATCTAACCCCCACGTCTGCCCTTTGTTCCTTTAGCCCTGAGGGTGGTAGTTGCTTCTAGTAGTCACTCTGTCTGTTTCAATCTCAGTATCCCCTTTTAACTTTTTTGGGACTCCAACATCTGTTTAACCAATTCCCTATAGCAATAGCAAATTCTTTCTGTTGATACAACTAGTGTGGTTTCTGTTTTCCCAACTGGACTCTTATTGATTCAATTGTAATTCCAGAACATTTTAGGAAGGACTCTGTGTGATCAGTACATTTCTCGATAATACCTTGAGTTGCTGTTGTTCTTCCTTTTAAATTATAATTTTTTTTGTTTACTTCCATCATTATGATCTTAAGTCTTGTGGGTTAAATAGGATAAAAAATTAGCTCAATATATTGTAGACCTAATCATGAAAGCTAAAGCTAAACCATAACATTTTCTCAAGTGTAAGAGGCAAATAAGGAAATTATTAAAAGCACATACTTTGAAATTAGATGAACCATTGAGGTTCCAGTTTCTGTTGCTTATTAAAAGAATGACCTGTCCAAGTTTGTCTCCTTGTTTTGAAACTCGGGGTAGTGTGACTAACTCTCAGAATTGCTGTAAGGATTGAAGGAGGTGGTTAGTAAACGTAAGTTTCTTAGCTAGGATCTGACTCAAAGAAAGAATTCAGTAACTTCATATTATGAGTGTGTATTATCCTTGAAAATCATTTAGGAGTTAAACTAGGGCAGAAAATATTGATTTATTTTTGTCTGTGGTATTAGTGTTTGGGGTGGGAGGTAAGGGTATATTTAAATAGGTAAATAGCATAAATTTTTGCTACAAAAGTGTTTGGGGCCAATCGTTTTTGGATATATCAACTTTTGTATGCATTTCTGTTCAAATATGAACTGTTTAGGTCCTTCAAGAGGCTAAAGCAGACCCATACAAAGCCTTCCCTTGTCTCCTTTTTTAACTTGAACAGTGACATTTCATTATTTCACCAAGTTTTCCTCCAGCCAGGAAGTGGGAACAGGGTAGGGGATTGGGTAACTGTGACTTGGAGTTTCTTCCCCTGTAAGTGGGGTGTCACTTGTTTGAGAACATGTGACATGTTTTCTGCACGCCTCTCATCCCCTCTCTCCTTACCTCTCAGAAGGCAGTCAAAATTTTACCAGTAAGGCTTGTCTTTTATATGTTAACAAACTCACCATTCTGTCCTCTGAATGCCTAGGTGTTCTACAGGATGAGTGTGACCTGAGAACTTGCCAGGTATTCAGCTGATGTTTCCCATGCTTTGAAATAAAGAGTGGAGTCACAGCTTTTCTTTTGTTTTGCACCTGTGACCCAGAACTCACCATAGTGAGTTTCCTTAGTACCTTTAAATCTAACCTCTTACCCACCTCTGTTAATTTTTGGAAGCAGCAGGCCTGGTTCCTACCATCTAAGCCTTCCCAGGCAATATAACCTTAAGTGTGTTCTTCAGAGACTTTTGAAATGATGTTTTTGAATTGATGTTTTTTTCTACTTCTCAACTTTACAACTCCTCTTGCCATAATTTACCGTATTGAGATTTTACTTTTGTGGAGCCTGATGTATAGGATTTCCAGGCTTCCTGATTAAAAAGTCCATAAACCACTTCTCCTTACCTCCCACCCCACCCCAAACACTAATATCACAGACAAAAAATAAAAATTTTCGATTCTAGTTTAGTTCCTGAATGGTTTCCAAGGATAATACATATTAATAACATGAAGTTACTGAATTCTTTCTTTGGGTCAGATCCTAGCTAAGAAATTTACTAACTACCTCCTTCAAATACTACAACAATTCTGAGAGTTAGTCACATTACCCCAAGTTTCAAAACAAGGAAGCAGAGCTGGACAGGTTGTGCCTTTAATAATCGACAGAAGCTGGAAACTAAATGCTGGTTCATCTAATTTCAAAGTTTGTGCTTTTAATGACTTCCTTATATGCCTCTTACACTTGAAAAAATGTTATGGTTTCGCTCTATAATTAGGTCTACAATACATTAAGCTAATTTTTGTCTATGGTATGAGAAAAGAGTAGAGTTTATTTTTTTTCATATGGATGTCTTAATGATTTTTGAGGTCTAAACTGTAAAAGAGCATGAATATAATTGCCAAAGGCCAAATATTCAGCATACTTAATGAATTGCTTCAAACAAATTAAAAACAAAAGAAAAAGACAATCTAATATTGAGTTTATACAGGTTACACACCACTTAGTTGCCACTGATGTCTTCTGAGAAATGAAGACAAACCCTGGCTCCCTAAAATCAACACATTTCTTGGAAAGTAAATTAATTCTCCCAGGAAGGCAAAAGGGAAAGTACCTACCCTGGAATATGAGCATTTGGCGATAGCAGGGAGACAAATTTTACTACTCTTTGAATGAGACTAGATGGCTCCAGGCCTAACACCCTTGCAATGTGAGAAGCGAATGACTCTGTGGAAGAGGAGAGAGTTTATGGCATGTCAATTTCCCTACTCAGGAAGACAAACCATCTGGAAATGTGAAACTATTTGACATCTCATTATTGGAATATACTCCATTTG